TGTCGTTATTAACCTTTAAGTTTACCTCCCCTTTTCCCCCCACCAAATGGACCACAGAAGGGGACTGTTCCGTTTCTGTTACAGATCTGAATATTTCCGACCTATTTCTTTCTTTCTTTTTAACTCTATATGTTATTGCTTTTCCATCAGATTTTTTTTTTTACATCTTTATTTGTTTTTCACATGTTTTTGTTTACAAAAGACAGCACAAAACACAACTAGCATACACTCTTGCAGCCCTACTATGGACATTTAAGGAGAAGTTTCGACTTCCCATCCGAGATGTGCATTACACAAGTAGTACCTGTATATTTGTGGCAACGGAATTTATAACTAACTGAGTGTTCTAAGGGAAGCAACTGTTATCGTTTCTAACGCCGTAACGAAAACTGCATTCCATTTACATGAATGCGATTAAATTAGATTTGCCTTTTATGTAAATTGAGAAAAAACTACCTTTTCACTCAAACGACACTTTGAAGCTACCGTTATTTAATGCCAGCTGTAGATGCTGATTTAATGAGCTTTTAATTTGAGAAATTCCCGGAATGAATTAAGGTGGGTCCATCCTTTTTGAAAAACCCATGTCATTTTTTTCTGATTAGGCTTATTTTCTCGCATTTTTTGCGTAGATTCCATATATGAAAAGATCAAAGGGAGTTCTTGACTTACTGTTTGAGATATATGAGCTGAAAGGTAGCCACTTTTCTCAAATTTTCCCGCAAATTATGAAAACTAAGTAATAATATGTTTTCTACAATATTTACAAAACTTAAGTTACCATCAAGTTTAATATTTTTAAAACATTATGTGATGTACTATCAAAAGCAAAAATTGCTGAGAGTATGATAAGAAAACAATCTGACAATTACGCAAACGCCTGTGCACTGTTTTGAATATGACACTATATATTTACCTCATTGTAAAAAGTGACTGAAACTCGTCTGCTCGTGTCTGAATGGTTCGGTTCGGTATGGGTTTACGCTCACTTTCACTCTCTACACCCCTGGAATATGTCGTAGCAAAATCGAAGGCTCAATGTGTAGCACCTTGTGGATAAGACGAGAAGACTAGTTCGGTCCTTTGATGTACATCAAAAGAATCTCGCGGTCGCGTAACGGTAAAAAATGACTTTGATGTCGGGCGTTGCTCCTTTGTAATCTTTAAAGGACAAGTATCAGCCAAGTGATTGGTCAGGTTTTTTTACCTGACACCAATCAAATAGCTAGCTATGACATATTCCAGTGGTGTAGAGAGCGAAAGTGAGCGTAACCCCTGGATATCGAGGATGGGGTCCTTCACTGGCTTCGGGAAATTGACGATGACTCGAGACATTAATTTTCAGTTGCAGTTTTCAGACGCTCTTTCGTATCACTTGAAGCTGTTTACACCGCAATTTATTACTTTTTTTCTGAACAAAATCTCTGTCTACCGTCAAGACGGAATAGCTGTAATGCTTCGAATGACATTTTCAACGTCAAGATCTAGCGAAGCGTCGCCGTCAGCGTGATTGGTAATGGTCATAATTCTTCCATCGTACGTCATGATCTGTTCTGTTCAAGTGATGATGTGAAACTCTGCGTATCGTTTGTTCTATTCAACATGTAGATAAGTGAGCAATAACAATGGAAAGCACATATTCTTTCACGTTCAGGCTCCATCAGCAGCAGCTGTCATATCGCTGTCATCAGCTGCGAAGTTAAACTTTCGGTGTAATCGACTTTCGTTCTTATTTACGGGAGTTCAATATCAAATTGAATAAGGTTATTTATATAAAAAAAATGGTCGCCCTGGATAGTTTTCATTTTTTTTGACGTTATTATTTATTGCTAATAATTATTGATGACACTTTTTAAATCCAAGCGTGGTGTTGATAGGTTACCGTAAATCATTCTGAAATGTGGCCAACATGCGCAGCTTACAATGACTTTATTTAGCAATATAATGTTAACCTTGTACAGATAATATAATGTTAACCTTGTACAGATAATATAGTTTTAACCTTGTACAGATAATATAATATTAACCTCATACAGATAATGTTATGTTAACCTTGTACATACAATGTAATGTTAACATTGTACAGATAATATAATGATAACCTTGTCCAGATAATATAATGTTAACCTTGAACAGATAATATAGTGTTAACCTTGTACTGGTAATATAAGGTTAACCTTGTACAGATAATATAATGTTAGCCTTGTACAGATAATATAATGATAACATTGTACAGATAATATAATGTTAACATTGTACAGATGATATAATGTTAACCTTGTACAGATAATATAGTTTTAACCTTGTACAGATAATATAATATTAACCTCATACAGATAATGTAATGTTAACCTTGTACAGACAATATAATGTTAACCTTGTACAGATAAAATAATGTTAACTTTGTACAGATAATATAATGTTAACCTTGCACAGATATTTCAATGTTAACCTTGTACAGATAATATAGTGTTAACCTTGTACTTGTAATATAATGTTAACATTGTACAGATAATATAATTTTAACCTTGTTCAGATAATATAATTTTAATCTTGTACAGATAATATAATGTTAACCTTGTTCAGATAATATAATGTTAACCTTGTACAGATATTTCAATGTTAACCTTGTACAGATAATATAGTGTTAACCTTGTACAGATAATGTAATGTTATTCTTTTACAGATAATATAATGTTAACCTTGTACACATAATATAATGATAACATTGTACAGATAATATAATGTTAACATTGTACAGATGATATAATGTTAACCTTGTACAGATAATATTATGTACAGATAATATAATTTTAACATTGTACAGATAATATAATTTAAACCTTGTACAGATAATGTAATGTTAACCTTGTACAGACAATATAATGTTAACCTTGTACAGATAAAATAATGTTAACTCTGTACAGATAATATAATTTTAACCTTGTACAGTTAATATAATATTAACCTCATACAGATAATGTTATGTTAACCTTGTACATATAATGTAATGTTAACATTCTACAGATAATATAATGTTAACATTGTACAGATGATATAATGTTAACCTTGTACAGATAATATAGTGTTAACCTTGTACTTGTAATATAATGTTAACATTGTACAGATAATATAATGTTAACATTGTACAGATGATATAATGTTAACCTTGTACAGATAATATTATGTACAGATAATATAATTTTAACATTGTACAGATAATATAATTTAAACCTTGTACAGATAATGTAATGTTAACCTTGTACAGATAATATAATGTTAACCTTGTACAGATAATATAATTTTAACCTTGTACAGATAATATAATATTAACCTCATACAGATAATGTTATGTTAACCTTGTACATATAATGTAATGTTAACATTGTACAGATAATATAATGTTAACATTGTACAGATAATATAATGTTAACCTTGTACAGATAATATAATGTTTACCTTGTACAGATAATATAGTGTTAACCTTGTACAGATAATGTAATGTTAACATTGTACAGATAATATAATGTTAACATTGTACAGATGATATAATGTTAACCTTGTACAGATAATATAATGATAACCTTGTACAGATAATGTAATGTTAACTTTGTACAGATAATATAATGTTAACCTTGTACAGCTAATATTATGTACAGATAATATAATGTTAACCTTGTACAGATAATGTAATGTTAACCTTGTACAGACAATATAATGTTAACCTTGTACAGATAAAATAATGTTAACTTTGTACAGATAATATAATTTTAACCTTGTTCAGATAATATAATTTTAATCTTGTACAGATAATATAATGTTAACCTTGTTCAGATAATAAAATTTTAATCTTGTACAGTTAATGTAATGTTAACCTTGTACAGATAATATAATTTTAACCTTGTACAGATAAAAGAATGTCAACTTTGTACAGATAATATAATGTTAACCTTGTACAGATAATATAATGTTAACATAGTACAGATAATATAATGTTAACCTTGTACAGATAATATTATGTACAGATAATATAATGTTAACCTTGTACAGATAATATAATTTTAACCTTGCACAGATAAAATAATGTTAACTTTGTACAGATAATGTAATGTTAACCTTGTACAGATAATATAATGTTAACCTAGTACAGATAATATAATGTTAACCTTGTACAGATAATATAATGTTAACCTTGTACAGATAATATAATGTTAACCTTGTACAGATAATATAATGTTAACCTTGTACAGATAATATAGTGCTAACCTTGGACAGACACTATAATGTTAACCTTGTACAGATAATATAATGTTAACCTTGTACAGATAATCTAATGTTATTCTTTTACAGATAATATAATGTTAACCTTGTACAGATAATCTAATGTTATTCTTTTACAGATAATATAATGTTAACCTTGAACAGATAATATAATGTTAACCTTGTACAGATAATGTAATGTTATTCTTTTACAGATAATATAATGTTAACCTTGAACAGATAATATAATGTTAACCTTGTACAGATAATATAATTTTAACCTTGTACAGTTAATATAATATTAACCTCATACAGATAATGTAATGTTAACCTTGTACAGATAATATAGTGTTAACCTTGTACAGATAATATAATATGCCAACGTTAAGCAAGGCCGTGTGATAAATGACAAGGAGAAGGGATTGATATGTTTATGGACAGTTATGAAGCTGTTAGATTGACTCTGTGATTCATTTGTCAATTGATCACATTAAATTCACTGATACCTTTAACCTTGTACAGATAATATAATGTTAACCTTGTACAGATAATATTATGTACAGATAATATAATGTTAACCTTGTACAGATAATCTAATGTTATTCTTTTACAGATAATATAATGTTAACCTTGTACAGATAATCTAATGTTATTCTTTTACAGATAATATAATGTTAACCTTGAACAGATAATATAGTGTTAACCTTGTACAGATAATGTAATGTTATTCTTTTACAGATAATATAATGTTAACCTTGTACAGATAATCTAATGTTATTCTTTTACAGATAATATAATGTTAACCTTGAACAGATAATATAGTGTTAACCTTGTACAGATAATATAATATGCCAACGTTAAGCAAGGACGTGTGATAAATGACAAGGAGAAGGGATTGATATGTTTATGGACAGTTATGAAGCTGTTAGATTGACTCTGTGATTCATTTGTCAATTGATCACATTAAATTCACTGATACCTTTGTATTGTTATTCAACAAGAAAGTCATGAGTACTTAGTACAAATGAGACAAAATGTCATCATCAATTATGGCGATACCTACGTTAACTTTGCCATCTTTTCCGAAGAATACGGTTAATATCTAAATCGAAGGTTACTTACAAATTCTGTGCACACGAAGGAATAGAATGAACTTCTCTGAGTTTCGTGCACAAATAATGTGTGACATTGAGATGATTTTTTTTAAGAAATGTGAGCTTACCTGAGCACTGAAGCTACACAAAATGATGTCTTTCATATGAAATGTTAGCCTGACGATCATGTAGAAAGGTCCGGGAACCCCGGAAGGTCATTTTGTATATCGATTATTTATAATTTATAATGAAACTCAATTATCGAAATGGAACATGCAGCATAAGTTATGAATGTTCATTTTCGTATTTTTCTGACAGTTCGTGTAATGATAAAATCACCAATCAAATAACAAACAACAGTCACGGATGCACCAAGTACTACAGTGTGTAAGTGGATCAGGGGAGACAACTTCTCCTACAGCTGCAGTGCAAAAGTAATCGCTTCAAACATGAGACAAAGAAAAGTATTAACGAATCTTTAATATCGTAGAATTCTATATTTAATCATGTACAGAACGTTATTGTATCTGAATACTTTGCTTGTATATGTTCGCTATGATGCGAGAGGAACAAGGTACCAACTTGTGATAGTAGTTGATGATAAATTATCGTGTGTTAATTCCCGACCGATCATGTTGATGTTTATAGACCAGGTACAGTATACCTTGTTTGTATAAGCTTTTATAATATCATCTTTTAAAGTAATTAAGGTGGCGAAAATCATCATAAATAAAGAAGGAACTAGTATTCATTAAAAACACGAAAGAAAGAAATCGCAACAAAATCCCATCGTCACTACATCAAGAAGCCAATTAGAGTTATCCCCCTTGTTGTATGTGTTTTTAGTCATAAGTTAACATAACCATCCTTGATTCAACGTCTTTCACAATAACTTTATGCTTGCATTGTTTACTCCTTGAGTTAAACTCGTAACAGAAAATCTTACGATTTTACGAGAGCAACAATACCTCCACTTGACGGACTCTCAATTGAAACTCATGTGGATCTTTCTGTCATACATGTCTATATAAGTTAAAAGAGCATGTATTTGTTAGTAGGATAGACTGTGCCATCACCTTGTACACACCTTCTTTATTTTTTTGTAATGGTTCGTTACTGTGATGAAGGATTGTCTAATTATTGTTAATGTTATCAAGTATATGAATATTTTTTTTATCTCAATCTGACGTCAGCAATTGATGTGTAGTTCTTTAAGCTCTATACAGTTTGATTTCAACAGGGAATCTTCTTCTTCGGTCTCTTTATTGTCGTTTTCATCCAGTTCCAATATCGTGTTTTCGGTAAGACACGATTCCTGTCTACGGTACCAGCCTTGGGCATTGTTCATTGAGTTCTCAAGATCACTACTACTAGCTCCATCATCGGTGTCAAGGTCGGAGTCAATTTTCTGGTGTGGTTTCTTCACTTCCGGTTGCCGAGAACAATCGCTCATAAACACAGGAAGAGCCATAAATGGTAAAAGTCCTGACCCGACAACACTCACGTTTTTGACTCGTGTGTCTATATTCATTGAATCTAGAAGTTTATTAATAGATTCTAGTCTGCCTTTTTTCTCCAAACGAATTCTAACTTTATTGATGTCTTTCATGAAGTAATCCACCTCTTCATCAACATCAGAATTCGTTTTCCTGCTGTTTCGTAGTCCCATAACTAGTACGCCCACCATTCCTATACTATACATAGTTACCACAGCAACGGTGAACTTCATTGCACCTTCCGCATCGTAGGGACCCTCAGTACTGTTTTGGGAAACGGAAGTGACATTAGAAAGGGTAACATTATACGCACTGTTTTCCATCGTTCCTGCCACATCCGCTATATTGGACAGGATCTGTAAAAAACGATATTCATTTCAATGAATGAAGAAGCAGTAGACGTGGTGTAAGAAAACATTCGTTTTGTCTGCCCTATCGAACTGATGATGTTTTGATGTACATGTGTCTCTCTACATATTGAGTAATGGACACCAATAGCTTGGAATCTTTGTCTGCAAAACTTCCATTGTGAGTAATGTATTTTCAAAGTTCCGTACTTACGGAAGCTTACTGAGCTTAATGGGAAATTATATAATATCAATACAACAGGATAAAAAAGCATATACCATGCCTTCAAAACTCAAGACAAATCTAAAAATAGAAAGGAAAAAAAGAAGATACACCATATCAACAACACGACAGGATGTTGTAAAAAGATAAAAGAAAAGCAAAGAGAAGCGTCAACGCACGAGGACAAAGAAATACAGCAAATATAGCATAGCGTCAACAAAGTAGCAAAACAAATATGTTCAAGCTTCAACAAAAAAGGACATAATAGAATAGCAAATATTTGGCATAGTCAAATCACAAATACAAAGTAGCATTGCAAATACAGCATAGCGTCAACTAACAAAGACAAAGTAACATAGCAAATATATCATAGCGTCAACTCACAAGGACAAAATAACACAGCAAATATATCATAGCGTCAACTCACAAGGACAAAGTAACACTTCAAATACATTATAGAGTCAACTCACAAGGACAAAGTAACACTTCAAATATATCATAGCGTCTACTCACAAGGACAAAATAACACAGCAAATATATCATAGCGTCAACTCACAGGGACAAAGTAACACATCAAATATAGCATAGCGTCAACTCACAAGGACAAAATAGCACAGCAAATATATCATAGCGTCAACTCACAAGGACAAAGTAACACTTCAAATATATCATAGCGTCAACTCACAAGGACAAAAAACACAGGAAATATACCATAGCGTCAACACACCAGGCAAAAAAAATAACATAGCAAAGCGTCAACACACAAAGACAAAAAAACACAGCAAATATAGTATAGCGTCAACTCACAAGAACAAAGTAACAAAGCCAATACATCATAGAGTCAACTCACAAAGACAAAGAAGTATTGCAACTATTTTGTTTTAATGTGATATTAGATTAATCTTCCAAAATAGCATTTAACCAATTCTAAAAACTTAGTATCCCTGTGTAATTTGAAAAAATACACACAAAGAATGTGCTTTAGGTAGTGAGCAACTATAAGGAAAGTAGGTTACTTGTGGTATTTATTTTATTTTGTTAAAGCCGTTTATAATTTTTTAAACATTGGAATATATAATGCAATACAAATTTGTTGTTTTAAATGGAAAAGTAATTACACATCAGGTTGTTACCTCGGCAACACGCGGTGTTTTGTTTACAGTACACGACTAACATTGTCATATTTACAGTGTTTTTTTTACAGTACACGACTAACATTGACATATTTACAGTGTTGTGTTTACAGTACACGACTAACATTGTCATATATACAGTGTTTTGTTTACAGTACACGACTAACATCGTCATATTTACAGTGTTTTGTTTACAGTACACGAATAACATTGTCATATTTACAGTGTTTTGTTTTCAGTACACGACTAACATTGTCATATTTACGGTACACGACTAACATTGTCATATTTACAGGTTTTGTTTACAGTACACGACTAACATTGTCATATGTACAGTACACGACTAACATTGTCATATTTATAGTGTTTTGTTTACCGTACACGACTAACATTGTCATATTTACAGGGTTTTGTTTACAGTACACGACTAACATTGTCATATATACAGTGTTTTGTTTACAGTACACGACTAACAACGTCATATTTACAGTGTTTTGTTTACAGTACACGAATAACATTGTCATATTTACAGTGTTTTGTTTTCAGTACACGACTAACATTGTCATATTTACATTGTTTTGTTTACAGTACACGACTAACATTATCATATTTACAGTGTTTTGTTTACAGTACACGACTAACATTGTCATATTTACGGTACACGACTAACATTGTCATATTTACAGCGTTTTGTTTACAGTACACGACTAACATTGTCATATATACAGTGTTTTGTTTACAGTACACGACTAACAACGTCATATTTACAGTGTTTTGTTTACAGTACACGACTAACATTATCATATTTACAGTGTTTTGTTTACAGTACACGACTAACATCGTCATATTTACAGTGTTTTGTTTACAGTACACGACTAACATCGTCATATTTACAGTGTTTTGTTTACAGTACACGACTAACATCGTCATATTTACAGTGTTTTGTTTACAGTACACGAATAACATTGTCATATTTACAGTGTTTTGTTTTCAGTACACGACTAACATTGTCATATTTACAGTTTTTTGTTTACAGTACACGACTAACATTGTCATATGTACAGTACACGACTAACATTGTCATATTTACAGTGTTTTGTTTACAGTACACGACTAACATTGTCATATTTACAGAGATTCAAGTTGTTGAGGACTATGATTAACTTTAATTGTCGTCGTTTGTTATCTCTTTTGAAAATATTCTTTTTCCTTGTGCGATATGAATTACTGAGGCATTTAAAAGACAAATAGCACACTCATACTCAAAGTAAGAAGCTGCTTAAATTTAGGAAGGTTTGTACGACGTTCTTGCCTTTGCTTAACGGTAAATGAATTAACACACACTAAAGGGAGACGTCAAGAGGGGCACCGACGCTTTATAAACACAAAAGCATTAAATGTTCTTTGTTATAGATACGTAATGTCAATACTATTCTTATAGTCAATTATTGTTCAAACCAAATAGCGTGTGTAAACAATATGTTGAATTTTCAATCTGTAATATTTGCATGGAATTTTAATTGGATGCTTTTGGTTTACATCTCGAGATTTACACGCAGCATGTCACATGAAAGTAGTGGAACGATTTATTGCTAAAGTGCGTTCGCAATGAAACAACCGAAAAATTCATATGTCTAGCAAATTTATCTCTCACAAATAACTGTATCTCGAAAATTCGGGAATTCCGCGAATTTAGTTTAGTTTCAGTTATATCAAAAAGTAAGCATTTAAATAAATTTGTTTCTATTCTGGCCGAATATCTCGGAAAGTGGGATGTACCAATAAACATAGTTCTTAAATATGAATAAAAGGGTTAAATAAGAATGAAGAAACTACGCCCCTCAACTCACAGGGACATGGTAACACATCAAATATATCATAGAGTCAACTCACAAGTACAAAATAACACAGCAAATATATCATAGCGTCAACTCACAAGGACAAAGTAACACTTCAAATATATCATAGCGTCAACTCACAAGGACAAAAAACACAGGAAATATACCATAGCGTCAACACATCAGGACAAAAAAAAAATAGCAAAGCGTCAACACACAAAGACAAAAAAACACAGCAAATATATCATAGCGTGCAACTCCAAAGAACAAGGTAACACAGCTAATACATCATAGAGTCAACTCACAAAGACAAAGAAGTATTGCAACTACGCCCCAAAATAATGAAGAAACTATATAAAAATAACATGTAGTTTTGAAAAAAAAGCGTCCATTTGTGATTTTGGGCCCTCAACTTTACCCCTCATATATCGGAATGGTCTCCAAGCTGACCTTAATTTCATGTTATATCATGACCATGATGGCATAACCCCAAGGTATGTATATACAAAAAATAAAACGTATCGGTGAAAGCTATTCAAAGGCCCTTATTTGTATCCCGCCTTTTGATAACAGATCAAAATAACATTACCTTATACAACTGATCATATTTTGTTTTACTTTTATACATGTTATAGATTTCAAAGTTAGCATTTTTAATGTCAAAATTGTCAACATTTTATAACAGAATACATGTAAATAATGTCAGTATATATCGTCTATTTATGTAAGTTTGCTTCTATCGATGTTATGATATTTTGAACATGATTGACTTTAAAATGATATGGAATTCTTACATTTTCTATTTCATACCATTTAAGCTGTTAAAAAACACATTGGCGTACCGACATATTGTACACGAAGTAAAATAAAAAGCAATCTATGTAACAAAGCGTCATAAATCAAGAACATAATCGAACATGAAAGTTGACTGGAAAAGAAACTAAATGGAATCAAGCGGACACCAAAACCAAATCAAAAGAAGTAGCACCATGGCACAGAAGCTAAGCCAGATGATTCAGAAAGAAAAACCTGTTTGTCACTTTTTCACGTTTAAGGTGGTGGACTTTTAGTCACCGAGCTGGCCGTGACCATGTAGCTGGCACGCTTTACATGATAGCGCTGTTGTTTTGATACGTTATCAGTTGACAGAAGTTGTAAACTTGTTGCGAAATAAAGGTTTTGATATTCCTTTTTTTCTAATATCTCTTCATTAAACCGTATTTCCAGTTATTGTTTAATCTGTTTTTCTTAATTGACATGAAGAAGAGACAATACGAGTGTAAAGGGTTGTCAACATATATGCAGTATTAAGAAGTTCCAACGATTTGAGGATTAAAATGCACATTCTTATTGTTCACAAATAAAATTCCATGAAGTGCGGTATTTCAAGAAATATATTTCGTTTCGTTATATTGTGAGTGAAGGATCTGTAAATTGTAGTAACTAATGGCACGTGAAGTCCGTGCTTTACCTGTACAGGTGTGTAAATACCTGGGTTCAACTGGGGGTTTTCATCGAGGTATTTGTTACACACAGAGACGGATGTTCCACGTTGGCTCCGTCAATTATTTTTTATGATGAGCGAGGAGGAACCTATCGAGAGGGAAGCAACAGTCTCCAATGAGAGTTCAGCTAATAGCCTTACCACAGAAGATGCGTTGTCATTGTTTTCGTCACGGCTTGACTCCGTGTTAAAGAGACAGATGTTTAGTATTTTTAAGGAAATTGACGCCAAGCTTCAGGCACATGACGAGTTGGTGGCAGAAAACAGTAAAAGTGACTTTAAATACAAGTTTCAGTCCAACGAGAAACAAGTCAAGTTTAATTCCGACAGAATCGTGGAATTGAAGCGTGCAGTGGCGCCCGTAGAAGAAGGCAACAGGCAGTGTGCTACAGAAAAATTAGAAGCGTGTGTGGCGGCCCTTGGGGAGAGGAACAAAATTGTTAAAATAGCCGATAGACATGGCTGGGATACCGTGGGTGAATATTTGGACGATCCTATTGCTGACGACGCTGAGGATTCAGTGCGATTACGTCAGGTAGAGGCCAGGGCTATTCGAAGTCGTAAGGTTAAAGGGCACGGGGTAAGCCCTATGCACGGGGAGGACAGAATAATTATACCAGCGGGGGACAGCAGAGAGACCGAANCCGTAGAAGAAGGCAACAGGCAGTGTGCTACAGAAAAATTAGAAGCGTGTGTGGCGGCCCTTGGGGAGAGGAACAAAATTGTTAAAATAGCCGATAGACATGGCTGGGATACCGTGGGTGAATATTTGGACGATCCTATTGCTGACGACGCTGAGGATTCAGTGCGATTACGTCAGGTAGAGGCCAGGGCTATTCGAAGTCGTAAGGTTAAAGGGCACGGGGTAAGCCCTATGCACGGGGAGGACAGAATAATTATACCAGCGGGGGACAGCAGAGAGACCGAAGAGAATATGGGTTTCCTTCACAGGAGTCACAACAGCTTTTTCGTGGCCTTCAACAGTTTGGTGGATACATGGGGGAGAACCCCGGGGCCCAGCAGGGTTTCGGAGGGGGAGGAGCAGCACCGTTCTTCCAAGGAGGAATGCCTCAGTTTGTCGGAGGCGGTGTCAACAGGTTCGCCGGCAACAGTTTCGGCGGAGCAGCGAATGGGACGAACACGGGAAGAACCGGGGGAGTGTGCTACTATTGTAACGGGGCTGGACACTGGGCACAGAACTGCCCAAGGAAAGTCAGGGCTTTGCCTTCAATTACCCAGACAGCAGCAGGACCAAAATCCTAAGGTTTCCATTGATATGGTAAGAATTGACTGTGATGCAAATTTAGCTGATGATATACATGAAATTACTTGTAACAAACGATACCTGATTAGCTAATTATAGCGTATAAAAGAATTATAGTCTTTTTGTTGTTTGTTCACTTACGATTTATAGATATGAAATAATTTATATTCGTATGAGGGACGAAGGAGAATATAACACATTTTAGTTTCATACCGTTAAAAATAGTAAAAAAAATGCATTATAATCCTTCTGTTAACTATAAAAGAAGGAAAATTCTAATTTATCATTCGGAGTGGTTTCTTTTGGTTGATAATACATTTTAAAGCAGCTGTTAAACATGTTTTGTGGAAATACCCGGACTATTTCTGATTGGAAAAAAAATGTTTTGTGGAAAGACCCGGACTATTTATGATTAAAAAAACATGTTTTGTGGAAAGACCCGGACTATTTCTGATTGGACAAACATGTTTTGTGGAAAGACGCGGACTATTTCTGATTGGAAAAACATGTTTTGTGGAAAGACCCGGACTATTTCTGATTCGAAAAAACATGTTTTGTTGAAAGACCCGGACTATTTCTGATTGGAAAAACATGTTTTGTGGAAAGACCCGGACTATTTCTGATTGGAAAAACATATTTTTAATAGTTATTGGTATAATGATTTGGAGGTTGTTACAGAGGCATTTATCTATAACATATATAATATTAAAACAAATGAGAAGAGTTTCTTAGTTCCTTCCTAGCGCGTTAACCTCTTTAGATGTTTCTCTTATTATATAACTTTGTCTAACTTATATATAATACTGTGCCTATATTCATTTCGCGAATATCGTCTTAACTGTTACATCAATGATTGTTGATTCCTAAAATTAGCAATACTATCTTGACGATGTTTATTCATCACTTCGAAATGTCTGAATAACTTGTGCAAAACATTTGAATGCTAATTTACTCAAAATTTACTTACAATATGAATCGCGAATTAAACAGGTATACAGTTTTCTAATTAGTACTAAGTTGGTGCCTAAATGACCTCAAAATACCTCTAGTATATTTGTATATCATATTAAGGGTTTAAATGGAAGTAAAGCGGTTTATTTAACATACACAAAGACTGGTTTATATATATTTTTATACTGTACACGATCACCAAAATTCTCAAAATCAACAATAGATTTTAAATATGTCACTTTAATTTTAAACGATTGCTGCATTAGTTCAAACTAATAAATATTGCAGATATATCTTTATTACAGATTTTGTCGTGAAGGCTTTTCCATGTATGAAACCAATAAGGCAATTTACATGCATCTGGCCGTCAACACAATAGCAAATGATATGCAGAAAAGAAGTTTAAACCTCTCTCTAAAGCCTTCATGCTAATTATCAATATACATATACAAGCTCCTTCATAAACCCTTCTAACACATGAGTATACTGGTATACTTACATACTGTTTAATGTCCACTGTCTTCAGTTAACGTACCAACACCATGCTGATCCTTGTAACACTGTCTTCCTGATGAGAACATCATTTGAAGCTTGAAATCCAATGGAAACTTAAACATTATAACCGTCTGTCCTTTCAATATTCCCTGTTTTCAGCGCGCTGCTTGTAAAATCCACCCTGTCTTTTTGGACTTGTAGTGGATGTCATCCAAAAATAGCAAACGTCTCTTTTCAATTTTTAGAACTGTCAATGCCAAATGCTTGCACACCTTGAAACGATACCCTTATGATTCGACCCGCAATAGCTAACCAATTGTGTATATATATACACACACACGAACACGTACTATGTATGTATTCTAAACTTACCCCGTCAGAATACACTAAAAAGATTTAAGTCGAACTTGTGTGAAAATTGTAATTCTATCTAACAAAGCACACGCGTTCCACCACGATTGAACTATAATTAAAAAAACAACGTGATCGCTACACATTTGTGTACTCAAATCAGGTAAATAGCCGGCCATTAAAGTATCTGAACACAGAGTATAAGGCATTGCATTATGAAACGACCATTCCATATGTAGCCTACCGATGGATAGCATTGTTCTGACATATATAACAAAAATACAGAGTAGATTATTTACATGTATTTTGATATGAAATATTTAAATGACATTTATCTGGATGAATACATTGCGTGAGTGATACCACTTAGATTTAATAATTGATGTCCCTGTATGGTATAATAAACCATATATACCCACACCGAGGACAGAATATAGCCCAGCGCCAATGTACAAAGCAAATAAAGAATAGCGTCAACACTCATAGACTCAATGAAATATCAAAACCGACATGACAGGTACCGATGATATACCGACCAAGTAGAGACATCCATTGAACCCTATTACAGTAGGAGACAACAGAACCAGGTCAGCATTACCAAACATCAAGCTTGAAGGACGTTCATAACTTAGATATAAACGGAAGTTTCACATTTCTTCTGAAATGTTCTTTAGTTTTTTGTTCTGTCTTCCTTCCACTTTCTCATCTAGGGATTACAATTTTTAGTCCTTTAAATATGATCAAATATAGCCCTGAATGGTGATGGGGGAGGGGGGACCGGGAAGGGGGGAATTTCTGAACGTACTGAGTTCCATTCATATTTTAGAAAAAGGAGACTAGAAAAAAGTGACAATGAAAAGAGAAAGATCGACACTGAGAAATAGACACTAAGGCTTCCTAACAGACAGCAAGATACAGACAAAATCAGCTGCAGATAAACTTACTAACGGGAAATGTCCACAGACAAACAGAGGGATAGATGACAGCTGTCAGACTTTCAGAGTTACGATCTAATTGGGAAGCTGTATTATGACTTCATCACAAGCCAGCGAATGTATACTAATATGGCTAGGTGACATAAAAACATCCAGCCGCAGCAGGAGGTTGAAGCGTTTAGAAATTAAATTATTCTTTTAAAATATATATGCAACATGTATAGATGAACGATTTAATTCAACAAATTTAAGCGAATTTAACCAGTTTAATTTCTGATGCAGTTCCCGTTTCCGTAGGAACCTGAAAGTAATCTAAAGTACAAATGTACAATTTAAAATGTATTATATTAAGACCATGGACTTCATTTCACTCCTTTAAGATATGAGTAATTGTCTCCTTTCTATGATAAAAAGTACAAAGTGAGGCATATTTATCAGAACCATATTGTTTAAATAGGACAGAGAAAAAAAAGAAAAAAAATGGCAATATTTTTTTGGCAATCGAAAAAGTTTTATGGAAAAACCTTTAAACAAAATGATAGATATGCATGCAAATACTGTTCAAACTTAAAGTGAAATTCTCAAAAAATCGAAATCAGACAGTTTATGTAATTTCTGTCACAGTAGTTCAAAACCTGTATCCTACATTTTCCTTATAACAAACAATGTGATGAATTAAGTAGAAAAATGTGTCACACCTGTAGAGATTTTGACTTAAATACATACATTTATTACTCGAGTGTGCATCAGAAAATCATGTTGTAAATATGCATAGTAGTTCAGTATAATTTCCTACCAAATTGAAAGTATGAATCATAACAAGAGAGGAAACCTACTGGTTGTAGTTTCATCAATGAAACATAAATTGACAATTTAGCATAACGATTCGAAGCAAGACAGCTGTACATAAGCCAGACTCTATTAATTTTGAAAAATAAAACACATAACTACCACTGATGAGTATGTAATATACGATATGACTATATGAGGATGTTAGACGTTTTCTTTGTTGGATGTTTTGCACCAACAGACTGAATTCCAAATAGGTGATTCCTTCTTCATGCTTGTCGTGGTTATTTTATGTTACAAGGTGGTTGACTCTACTGCTGGACTGTCAGTCCCCGAAATGATTTTGTAGCTGGGATTTCTTCTTGTCAGATTTACATGAAATACGAACTAAAATATAAATTATCTGTCGTAACCTAAAGTTGTAAATTTGAAACTTTATAAAAACAGTGTTTAAGTACCTTTCCCTTTTCGATAATTTCTACAAAACGGCTTTATAACTTTTAGATATAGTTTTTTTTCTTTCATTGGACTTAGAGTATCATTCATGAAGTCTGTATAGACAAATGGTGCAGTACAATGCTTTCTGCGTCTACAAATCAAGTTTCAATTCCATATAATTTGTTACTGATTATTTAATATTCAACCTGATAATTATTTTTTCTAGTATTTGACATATCAGAGGATGAAGTTAACACCCACAGGTGAGTGCACCTTTAACCATTAATAAAAGATCAAGAATGCCGCAAATGAATTTCACTGCATCATACAGCTGTTTTGTCCTTCTAGGACTCATCGGTGATGTAAGGGGCAACACAAAGAGGGAATCCAAGATGGTTTATACTTATATTGATACAGAAAGGGAGGTACATAAAACCCTTAATTATATGAATTTCAAAAGTCAGAAAAGTACTGGTTGATTTCAAATCCCAACATTATGAGATAAGTAAATATTATGAACCGTACCACTACTTAAAATGAAAAACCGTGGCTACAGGCCTAATCTACCAACTTGTATCGTTAAAAGTAAACGTTACACACATATGCAATAAACAATGATTTTCGCTTTCATTGGTATTGATTATAATGAACCAAGATTATCATTATTAGAAATATTTGCTTTGTCAAACCATGACTTTTATTATTGCTAATTTCTGATATATTACATCATGATTATCACAATTATTTTTATCCTTTGTATAAACAATAACTAGTATTATTGATTAATAGATATTACTATTATCATTACTAGAATACATTTATTAACTATGAATGTTTGTCACATATCGACATTTGAGGTTACTTTATATTCCATACGGTAAGTATGATCGAGTATTAAATAGGAAAGGTAGGTAATTGGTATTTGTATTTCGCGGGTAAAGAAAAGCGCGCCAACTTTATATTTACCTGGGCACGCGCAGAGTTGTTTGGACAGGTGTGAAAGGCATGTGTAATGGCGTGACCATTGTTTTCATTACTGCTTCTGTTATTGTGAAGTATTCGGAGGGTTAGCGTGAAATACAGCTCACGGTAAGTTATATTTTAATCATCGATAGATCTGTGTGTATCTTCTGAGTTATATTGTTGATTCTGTGTATGTTTGACCGTGTAATAAAGGGTATTTTTCAAATAGTAAACAGGTGCGAAATTGTACGGAGCGCAGTGAGAGCGAATGGGTTTGTGTGGTAGTTGTTTAGATAGTGAATTAGGATCATTGGGGCTTATTTATTTATAATAAACAAAGTCACAATTATATTATACAAATGTAATAATATATCAATGTAAGTGTGGTCATTAATATATACGATTGAGCATAGATGAGTGAGCGACGTGGTGTGTTTACGCATGTTGCAGAATGTTGTATAAGTACTATGTTTAAAGCGTATATTATAGATATGTAACATGATAGTGTAGAATTATGTAGTTACTAGTATTATTTATATTTTGTAGCTTATTTCCCAGTGAGAGACCTGTCAGTTTTGTCTGAGGACAAAAGTATGGAAACCCGTAATTGCCGACGGTGTTATTGTCCATGTTTCCACCTACGAGGCACTGAGACAGCAGTTTTATGAACTGACTTATACCTATGGCTATGATTATCCAGAGAGGGAACGTGTCGATATTTTCCCTAGATATGGAGACATAGTACTCTATTATGGAGGCCGGGAGTATGATGTGACAAACTGTGGTATGGAGGCCCGGTAATAGTTGAGTGGAGTTGAACTCCGACACAGCAACTGCGACTTCAGCAGCTGAGATACAGTTCAGCCATAGATGTCATCTGCCAGCTGACCAGGAGGACATTCCTAGAGTGTTTGGCTACTGATTGTGTTTGCCAGAAGACGGGATTGAAATTAAAAGTAACGGAACTTGGTGATCTGTTCGTGTGGGAAGCTACAACGACTATTCATTATATTATAGATTTAGGGATTTAGGTGTAAAATAATATATATATTTATCTATTTATAGATGAAAGTAAATCATAATATATATGTCCAATGTAGAATTGTGTGAGAGTTATTAGTGAGTGTGAAAGAGTATGCTTATATAGATATTGTATATTGTAAATAAATGTATATTTGTAGATCCTCTTTTGTTATCAATTGCAAATGAATTTATAGTTCGTCATGCGTTAACAGTGTTATTATTTTTAGTACATATCACATAAACTTATGATGCTTAATACGGTTTAATATGTTACTGATCAACATATTTACCTGTAGGATATATCATAGCATGTGCCACATGTTATCAAGGAACGGTTTCCTCTTAAATAAAATATACATGGATTCGCCTCACTGTTTCTGTCTTTTTGGGGTTTTTTTGTTGTTGCTCCTTTAGTTCCAGTCGTGTCTTTCCGTGTTGACGTTGTGGTATTGTTATTTATATGAGTGACAGGTGTTATCCCACTTCGTTTTCCAGTGACAGTTGATTAATCGCTTACCTGTTAACGTCTACACTCTTTACAACAGACATCTTGTAAATCTCATGCAACTATATATACATACATTTACAAGCGAAGATTTACGAACTGCATACTCATTGTATAATGGCGATTTATATACCAGAAATATTTATAAATGTTCCTGTATCTATAGAATCTAAATAATACACTGTACCCTAAATTAAGTTTGAAAATAGGTGGTATTGCAATAATTCAATTATAAGTTTTACTATTATCGTTGGAGAATCGTTCAGCATCGACTTATAAAGCCAGTATTTTTAAAAGTATTAAAATGAAGACGCGGCATATAAACGTGTTTCGGTCACAGAAAATATCATTTTGGAGCAACACTAGATAAGATGTTTATCATCAAAGACACAATGAAATACAAGTGTCATTTCTTCATGTGATTGTCGTTCA